GGCTCAAGCAGTAAAGATTTCTTTAGGTGCCCAACAAAAGCTGAAGTTTATTACAACTGATCCTCCGTCAAAAACATCAGCAACATATGAGGAGTGGGAAACTGATAACTATATGGTTATGTCCTGGTTGTGGAACAGTATGGAACCTTCCATTGCATCCACTTTTATGTTTGTCAACACTGCAAAGGCAATCTGGGATGCTGTTAAAGAAACTTATTCTATGGACACGAATGTTTCTCGCATATATTCATTGTATGAAAAGATATTTCATTCTCGTCAATCTGACTTCTCTGGTCAAGGCCTTGGTGAGTATTACAGTAATTTCAAAAGCCTTTTAGATGAGTTAAATCAGTACCACCCCTTGACTACTGATCTTGATGTTCTCAAGCGACAACGTGAGCAATTTTCTGTTTCCATTTTTCTTGCTGGTCTGCACCCGAACCTTCATAATATTCGGGATCAGATCCTCGCTGGTGATGGAGGACTCCCATCTTTGGGTAACATTTATTCCCGCCTACTTCGGGTTTCAGAACAATCCCATGTGACGCCCACTGGAGTGAAAGAAAATTCAGCTATGATGATTCCTTTTATTTTTCCACAGTCCTTTAGAGGTCGTGATACTCCTAGTGGCAACAGAGGGTATGGTGGAAATTCAGGTGATACTCCTAGTGGCAACAGAGGGTATGGTGGAAATTCAGGTAGTTCTCGTGGCGGTAGTGGCCGTGATAGAAGTCGTAGTCGCCGTGGTCGTGGACGTAGTGACACTCACATGTGCAGCCACTGTAGGGGTACTAATCATTTTGTTGAGAACTGTTGGACTCTTCATGGGAAACCAGCATGGGCAAATCAAGCAGTGGCTTCCTCTGACCTTGCGGGGTCTCATCCCTCTCTTGGTCAGACCTCTGTATTACCATCACCTGCATCTACTAGTGACACTGTGACACTATCACTATCAGGAGCTGAGTTCAGTGCATTGGTCAACTGGACACATCCCAACTCTACTGATGTAGTTAATTTTGCGCAATCAGGTAATATTGCATGCTTCTCCGATTTACAGATTTCAACATCCCCTTGGGTTATTGACTCTGGGGCTTTTACCCATCTCACAGGTGATGCCTCTCTATTTTCTAATTTTCAAAAGTCTAGTTCCTCCTCTTTTGTTACTCTGGCTGATGGTAGAACATGTTCCATTATTGGCCAGCGAACAATTACATTAACCCCATCCATTTCTTTATCCTCTGTGCAATTAGTTCCAAATTTTCCCTTTAATTTATTATCTGTAAGTAAATTGACTCAAGCACTGAACTGTTTTGTCACATATTATCCTTCGTCTTGTGTCTTTCAGGACCTCAACACGAAACAAACGATTGGTGGGGGCAGTAACAGAAATGGCCTATACTATTTGGATTGCAAACCTTCCACTGTTGCTTTACATTCCCAGATGTCTGTGTACCAGTGGCATTATCGGTCAGGTCATCCCTCGTTGCGGTATTTGAAGTCTGCTTTGCCTTTCCTTGAGTCGGTGTCTACTTTAAATTGTGAGTCTTGTCAGTTGGGTAAGCACCATAGAGTGCCTTTCCCTCCTCATATAGTTAATCGTCGGTCTTCTTTATTTGAATTAGTGCATACGGACATTTGGGGTCCTGCTCGTCACACTAGTCACTCAGGTTTTTCTTATTTTGTTACCTTTGTTGATGATTTTTCAAGGATGACTTGGTTGTTTTTAATGAAAGACCGTTCTGAACTGTTTTCCATATTTCAAATATTTTTAAAAGAAATTGAGGTCCAATTTGGGTGTGTTATACGCTCTTTACAATCTGATAATGTTATGGAATATGTCAAAGGTGCTATTTCTAGTTTTTACGACTCTCGTGGTATTTTGCGCCAAACTTTTTGTTCTTATACTCCTTAACAAAATGGCGTAGCTGAACAAAAAAAAGGCATTTAATTGAAATAGCTCGGACATTGATGATACATATGCATCTACCAAAAGCATTTTGGGGCGATACTGTTTTAACTGCTTGTTATTTAATTAATCGTATGCCATCTTCCGTTCTTAATTGGAAATGTCCTTATTCCTTTGTTTTTCCTACTTGACCATTATTTGCATTGCCGCCTCGTGTTTTTGGGTGTGTGTGTTTTGCTCACGTATTACGCCCTGGCACTGATAAATTGTCTCCTCGTGCCATTAAGTGTGTCTTTATTGGATACTCTCGGACTCAAAAAGGTTATAAATGTTGGGATCTTAGCACTCGTAAGGCTTTTGTGTGCATAGACGTTACCTTTTTTGAGGATACTCCTTATTTTTCTTCACATAGTTCGTCTTTAGATACCGAGCTACTGCTTCCGTTGCCTGTTGTGTCACATTCATTACCATGTGACCCACCACAATCACCACATGTGCCACCGCCACTTCAAGTGTAGAGTCGTCCCCCCCCCCCCCCCCCCCCCCCCTCCAATTGTCTACTTCCATTAAGGCTCCTCCTGCTACTGATGATCTTCTTATTGCATTACGTAAGGGTGTTCGCTCGTGTGTCACTGCACACCCCATATCTAACTTTGTTTCCTATAAAAAGGTATCGCCCTCATTTTCTTGTTTTTTATCCACGTTATCTGCTACTGTTGTTCCAAAAACTATGCACGATGCTCTATCTAATACAGCTTGGCGCAAAGCCATGATAGAGGAAATGGATGCTCTTCATCATAATGGGACATGGGACCTTGTTTCCTTACCTCCCGGTTCCAAAACGGTTGGTTGTAAGTGGGTCTACACTGTCAAATATCTCCATGATGGATCTGTTCAGCGCTTGAAGGCTCGCCTTGTTGCAAAGGGATACACACAAACCTATGGTATTGATTATGATGAGACTTTTTCTCCTGTTACGAAGATTTCTTCTATCCGAATCCTTATTTCCATTGCCGCCAATTGTAAATTGGCCATTGTTTCAATTAGATGTAAAAAATGCTTTCTTACATGGTGACTTACATGAAGAGGTTTACATGGAGCAACCACCTGGATATGTTGCTCAGGGGGAGTCTCGTTATGCTATATGGCGTCTTAAAAAGGCCCTGTACGATTGAAACAATCTCCAAGGGCTTGGTTTGGAAAATTCTCTGAGGCAGTACTTTCCTTTGGCCTTAACAGATGCGAGACAGATCATTCGGTATTTCACCAACATACTAAAACTGGCTTTATATTTCTTGTGGTATATGTAGATGATATTGTTATAACAGGTGATAATTCTGACGACATTGCAAAGTTAAAATTGTTCTTACAGAATCGGTTTCACACAAAGGATCTAGGCAAACTCAAATATTTCTTGGGAATTGAGGTTGCTAGATCCAAGGAAGGTATAAGTCTATCTCAAAGGAAATATGTGTTGGACTTGTTAAAAGAAACAGGTATGAAAGGTACTCGCCCTGCTGATGCTTCTTTGGACCCAAATATAAAATTATTACCTGAGAAGGGTGATTTATTTGACGATCATGGTAGATATCAACGTCTAGTTGGGCAATTAATTTATCTCACTATTACCCGACCTGACATTTCATATGCAGTTAGTGTTGTAAGTCAGTTCATGAGTGTTCCTAGAGTACCACATTGGAATGCTGTTCTTTGAATTATTCGATATCTCAAACAAGCTCCAGGTTTTGGATTACTATATAAACCTAATGGTCATCTTAATGTGACAGGTTTCACATATGTTGACTGGGTTGGTTCTCCCTCAGATAAGAAATCTATTACAGGCTATTGTACATTTGTTGGTGGAAATCTTGTTACGTGGAAAAGTAAGAAGCAAATAGTTGTAGCACGGTCCAGCGCTGAAGCAGAGTACAGGGTGATGGCCCATACCTCTAGTGAGTTAATGTGGATACAACATTTTCTTGAAGAACTTGGGTTAATAGTCAAGACTCCTATTCCACTGTGCTGTGATAACCAAGCAGCTATTCACATCGCATCCAATCCGGTGTTTCATGAAAGAACCAAGCACATTGAAGTTGATTGTCACTTCACTCGAGAGAAAATATTGAGTGGAAACATTTCTACTCCATTCGTGAAGTCTGAAGATTAATTAGCTGATATGTTTAATAAGGCTCTTGGTCATAATCGGTTTAAAACGATTTGTTCCAAGCTGGGATTATATGATATATATTCTCCAGCTTGAGGGGGAGTGTTGAAACACTTATATGTATATATGTATTTATGCTGGGGTCCTATTGTAATTAGATATAGGATTTGTGGCCATTATGTAAATAGGCCTTTCTTGTATTGTATATAACCCCCTTTATGTTTTAGGGTTAAAGATATATGAAAAATATGGGCTGAGACTAAGAGCTTTCTCTCTAGCCATCTCTCTCTCTCTCTGTATCTCTATTCTCATTATATTCAAATCTCCATTTCTACAACAGTAAAAAAAAAAAAAAAAATCCCCTGAATGTGTTATATAATTAATAATATACAATAAAATTACAATGAAAAGTGGAAGAAACCTCCACAATTAAAATACCAAAACCAAAAAGCTACCTATCCTACAAAAAAGAAATAAAAAGGGTACAGCAGCCGCTAACAACTCGAGAAAATTACATCAAAATCTGTAAGAGTAAGACTGAAAAAAAGAAGACATTCCATACAGATCTCCTTAGCAATTGCATCATCTTCTCTTCACTCGTCTTCATGTAATCTTCATATACCTCTCCCTCCAAATTTGGCATAGAGCAGCACTGAAGAAGCTTCTAGTTAACTTAATATGTGAAGCAGCATTAAAATTTATAAACTAATGGGTTAAGTCATAGAAATATCCCAGTAAGTTCAATCACTCCCATTTGCAAATAGAAAAAAGCCATGTCCATATTCCTTTAGCCAAAGAACAGGACCAAAAGAGATGCTCCACTGAAAATAGATTTAGTGAACTTTGCAGAAGGTGTTTCCAATTACTGATCTTACTCTGCATGGTACTTCTATTGTTGGTTATCTCAGAACATGTAGTTCTTTCTTGCAGGGTGTGAAAGTCTCTCTTTCAGCAGCAGCTATTTCTGGTTTTACAAGTTTAGATTATGATGATCTGCACTTGATTTGGACAGCAGAAAAACTACAGAAACAGCTTGATGTTATTGACAGACGCTGTAAAATGTATTCGTATCCAACTTTCGATATCTTTTACATATGCTGGTTTCTTTCTTACTGGAAAGCAGGCTAATGTGCTTGCCATCTGAAATAATACAGTCAAACTTGTGACAGTGTGGAACATACATGAGGGGTTGTGATGCATGAGAACAGTGAGAAATGAGAAATCATGCTTCACCAGGACATTCATATGATAACAACTGTAGATTTATTGACCCCTTTTGGCATTGTCTAGCACAGTGTTAGCTGGTTAAGAAAATTCAGTTCACCAGCATTGTAAAATTATACACCATGGACAATTAGGATAAAGTTGGTTGCCCATTTGTATGGCGGTGATGGGACTCATTGCTAGCCAATAGTTCTGTCCTATTTTCCTGACTCCGAAAAATGTAAATACTAAAGTGGACAGTCAAATTATAGGACATGTTTCCTTAGTCTAGCTTAAGTTTCTTTACCTGCAAAATATCTGATGCTCTGTGCAGGTTGAGAAATTCTGCTTTAGGTTCTCTGAAATCTGGGAACAGAAAAGTTGCATTGAGGCGTGCAAGGGAAATGAAATTAGCCTCTGAAAGTAGAGAAAATTGTGTAGCACTTTTGAACCGAGTGGAGGAAGTCCTCAGAGTTATTGCTGATGCTGAATCCTCGAAAAAGGTAGATTCATAGAATATTCTGGATTTGCTTCAGTTGCATCTTAGTTTTGTTTTAATGATCTAAATGTAAGTAACAATACCTACAAGTTTTGCAAAAATTGACAACCACTCACGCTTTCTCTGGTAAGCTTAATGGGTCAAATTTGTTAAATTGAGCCTTGAATTACCTGTTTCTTGCTGTAAAATATCTTTGATAGTCTCACCCATCACCTTCTTGTGGCAGGTTTCTGAAGCTATTCAGATTGGTGCACGAACAATAAAAGAAAATGGGATGAGCATTGAAGAAGTTCAACTCTGCTTACAAGAACTTGATGAGAGCATTGATTCACAGAAGGAAGTTGATGAAGTTCTAGGTAATTTTATGCTTTACCCAGTTCAGTTACATTTACTTTGGGTATCACAATAAAATGACATATTAGTGCATTAATAGATAGAACTTAAACATAATTTTATGATAAGTAGTTGAGACCAATTAAAAATTATGATAAAACGACCAGCTTTATCACTTGTGTGAAGCAAAGTGAGAGAGTAAGTGGCACAGGCATTTTATATCGTAAATAATATAAATTCTAACATAATGTGGCTCTTGCAGAATCAACTCCATCATACACAAGGATTGAGGATGAAGATATTGAAGACGAGTTTAAGAACCTAGAGTTGGAAGTTGGTAGTGAATCTTTCCAAGATCCCATCTCCATAGTTGGATTGGGTAGTTCAGCAGGAGAAACCGAGGTTCCAGAAACTACCGAAATGCTTGGCGATGCTTTATCAAATCTCAAACTTGCTGATGGTACCGCACGCATGGAATTTGTGACGCAACATTCTAAGCAATCAGTCGGGAACAAGTTATCAGCAGATCTTGAGCGTGACACTGCTTAGTGAAATTTTTTCCTGTCATGATCAGTCTCGTTATGATACTTGCCCAGTTGAAACTCACTTCTACTCTGCTGAAAATATTGACCAAATTAAAATTTTGTGGTCCAGATGTAGATTTGTATATTTTTGCGGTGTTGGTAGAGTACAAAATGTGTTAAATGTTTCATGTTTACAGACCATCAAATTAGGCGATAAATTTAAAAGAAATTTAGATGGGAGAATATTTTAATCATCTTTAAATATCTAGAATGTCACAAATAATTCTGCATTTTCTTCTTTAAATTCATGATCTTGTAAAATCTTTTTTAGTATGCATAATTGAGAAGTCATTTTCCTATTTTATCAATCACTTTTGGCCTACGAGATAGTCAATGTGGAAGTGCTATCTCACTCACAGAATATGCAAGGCAGATGGGCGCTGGTTGGGTCGGGTTTACACCGGGTCAAATATCGGTAGGTCACAAATGAGTTCTGACCCATATTCTTCAACCTGCTTATGGTGGGTCAAACACGGATTAGGTCGATCCATAATTGTTAAAGGCTTAAGGCGCACACAAGTGCAAATGCCTCCTGGAGCCTGAGGCGCAAGGCGCAAGGCGCAAGGAGAGGCGTGCGTCCGCAAGGCACACGTTGAAAAAAAAAACCCATCCAATAAAGTATTAAAGATGCAATATTATATATAAAGAAGTAAAAGCCAATTAAATGAATTATTTCATGCAAAAAACACATGGATGATGGATGTGCTATTATTATTTAACTTGTCAAATCAAATCTTATTTTCATTAAGCACGAATAAAACCGTTTTTGCAAGATGCAAGCACCATGTTTGGATGCATTAAATAGAAATTATGAATTTATCTTGCAAAAACCACAAGGATGTGATATATTTTCAAATCAAATCAATTTAATTTTCTATAAGCACCATGATTGATTCTAGTTTTCATTTTTGGATAAGTGATTTTAAAACTAAACATTCTTTCAATAATAGAACCTAATTATATGAAAATAATATAACAGTACATCTTACATGAGTAATTATTTCATTTTAACAAAATTATTTCATTTTAACAATAAATGAGCTATTTACAATTTGAGATTGTCTTCTATAATTTAGAGTACACTTCACTAATTATTTCATTTTAACAAAATTATATAAAAATGCATTTCCTCAAATCAATAACATGTTAGAATGGAACAAATACAGGCTACAGCTGTTCACACAATTTACACAAATAAAACAGGATCACTGATTACACAAATAATAAAACAGGATCACACAAATAAATAAAAAAATAATGAGAGCAATACATTGTACTAATCTAATCCAAGCAGGTAAATATAAAGTACCTCACACAAATAAATTAAAAAAAAAAAAAGAAGAAGAAAAATAAAATAATAAAAATAAATAAAAAAATAAAAAGAAGAAGAAAATAAAAAAACAATCTGCCAGACTCCACTCAAATAATAAAAAAAAATAAATAAAAAGAAGAAGAAAAAGAAGAATAAAACTTGAGAAAAAAAAAATAAAAAAAATAAAAAAATAAAAAGAAGAAGAAAAATAAAATAAAAAATCTTCCAGACTCCACTCTCAAGAGAGCTGAGACTCAAGAGAAGAAGAAGAAGAAGAAGAAGTAAAAAAAAGTCCGAGAAGAGAAGGAGGAGAGAAGAAGAAGAGAAGGAAAGAAGAAGAAGAAGAAGAGAAGAAGAAAAAGAGAGAGAAGGAGAACTTACCTAATCCGACGCAGATCCGAGAGATCTGACGCTTTTTGGTGCCTTCGCTGCCTCTGTCTTCTATTCTTTTTTCCTTTGCTTTTTTATGTTTTTTTATGTAGGCTTTTGTCTTATATTAACTAATAAAATATCAGAATAGAAATAATAATAATAATAAACAAAAAGAACTTTTTAAACAAACAAACAATAAACAAAAAAAAAAAACGTAAAAAACAACTTTTTACCTTAGGTGTGCCTTTCCAGCGCCTGTTGCCTGGCGCCTTGGTCAGAAAGGCGCACGCCTTTTTTAAGCGAGTTACCTTAAGTGTATCAAGGCGACAACATGGCATCTGGAGGCACCTTGCACCTCAGGCACGCGCCTCCGGTGCCTTTAACAACTATGGGTCAACCTGGCCTAAAATCGTTTTTAGTATGCATAATTGAGAAGTCATGTCGTTTTCCTATGTTATCAATCATTTTTGGCCTTCGAGTTAGTAAATGTGGAAGTGCTGTCTCACAAAATATGCAAGGCAGATGGGCGCGGGTTGGGTCGGGTTTACACCGGGTCAAATATGGGTAGGTCACGTATGAGTTTGACCCATATTCTTCAACCTGCTTGTGGTGGGTCAAACACGGGTTAGGTCATCCCGGCCCAGTGTCCCATTGTTTTTTTTCTCTTATACCCTACAAAATAAATAAATAAAATAAAATAAAAAGTTAAACAACCTTATTACTTTGGGCTAATACCATCATCATGTTCTTGAGGTGTTAGGATGGATAAAATTGAGTGGGTAAAAATAGGATGAAAATCCACATCAACTATTTTAAAGCTATAAATCCAAGTTGGCATGTGAATGACCCATTATCACAATCCAATCCGATTTTAAAAAAATATAAACGGGCCTTTACACACACACATATCTATATATCTATTCTCTATTTCTTAACATTTGTTAATTTAATTTAATTTAATTTTATAAAAAGTCTAATAAAGTCTCATTATTCATACCTTATTAAAGCGCACAATGATCAATATATTTTAAAGCACATATTCTCACAAATTCCAAATCCCTAATCCACAAATTAAAAGTGTAAGGGATTTTTTGAAATTTTAAACATTTTTTTTCTAATTTTTAAATCTAATGATATGTTTTGCTTTTTAATTTAAGAAAATGAATAGCTTAATAAATTCTATGATTGTTTATGCCTTTTGGAATTGCCCGAGGGACAAGAAGTTAATAACCTAACTGGCTAACACAAACAGAAATAGAATTCTCATCTATCATTATTGCCTAATAATTAATTACATTATTTCACCTCTTAAAATAATTAATTACCTTTTGGAATTACGGATCGAACAAGAAGTTAATAACCTAACATTTATCATTATTGTCTAATAGTTATTATATTATTTCACCTCTTAAAAGTAACTGTAACTTACATCTCTCTCTATCATTTTTAGGGACTAATATTTTTGCTTTGTCTTGAATTTTTCGTCTCCTAATTGAATACATTAATACATAATAGGTTTTGTGATGACCCATAATTTTACTATTATGGGTCCTAATTTGTTCATGGTTTGCTATTTCAATGTCAAAAGTATGTTTAAAGGTCCATTTCTGTTGAGAACTCTATTTCTGGTCTGCATTATATTTCTACACATGATATGAGGTCTATAGTAATTCAATTGGGAAGGTACATTGTTGTTCAAGCCTGCTCCAATCAATTATGATCGGATCAAGGGCAGTATAGTAATTTCCGACATGCTTTAGATCATATCAAGTGCATTGAAGGTTGTACATTATATCACAGATCAAGTTACAGGCCTACGTTGACTAATCTCTAGTGCAGAGTGTGCATTCTTGATCACAGGCCTACTTAGGGGTATTTTCGTCTTTTTACATGCTGCGTGGCATTTTACAACACAGAAATCCATTTTGATAGTGTATAAGCAGGGGTGCAACACATCCTTGTGTTATACAATTGACAAGTGTCCAATGAAGGGTATTTTGGTCATTGTCTATGCTAAACAATTACTTAGACACGTGCTCTGTGGTCCTAATGTGAGATAACAATATGTGGTCCTAGTGTGAGATAACAATACTTGTTATGCATTTCTTAGTTACCATGTTTGATTTATAAAGCTGATATATGTATAAATTTTAGTTGTCAATTGCTGGTGCACTAGAGGACAAAATTGCAAAGGTGCCAAGGGCACTGTTAGGCGCTCAATGTTATACATTTTAGCCTTTAACTTGCGTGTTTTATTCTCTTAGTAATAGTTTTATCTGTGATTTTATGATGTTTTAGTGTTTTTTTTTATTTATTTTAGAGCCTTAATTATAATATTAGTCAAAACCAACAATTTTGGGTTTTAAAAGATGATATCCAAAAGGTTAAGGGAAGACCACATCCATTGAGCCGAGCAATGATGAAGATCCAAGTCCAATTAAACCTAGAAAAGAGCCCAAGAGAAGTTACAAGCTGATGAGAATGGAAACAAGAAGAAAAGGAAGAATTCTTCTCTGACTAGGAAACTTTCTCTAAAATTGGAAATTTAAACCCGTTTTAGTATTATGTCTGTATCTCTTTCCTCGAGTATCAAAACGGCTCAAATTTTACTAATTCTTGAAAGGAAATTTGAAGATCTAAAATTTTGTATTTCACGAAAATTTTGTGAAACGGATGTTTACATTGTCAAAATTAGGTTGGAATACAGCACGAATTTTGGAGTCCAAGGTTGGCAGAATTTCCATATATCTCCTATTTGGAAAAAGGGAACTCTGGGCCTATTCTTCTTTTATTTAAAGAGAGTTCTCTACACCATTAGGGGGACACACAGGAGCTAGAGGCTGAAATTAGAGGAGAAGAATAAAGAAGAAAGAAGGGATCGACCTATGGCGGCGAGATGTTCTCCCAAACCATGAAGAAGTCCATTTCAGTCATGAGCGGCTAAAAGCTTTGCTGGGGCTGTGATGTAGTCCTAGCTTAGCGCTATTGGTTTGATTATATTTATTTATTAGAGAACAATATTTTTCATACATGATTGTATAACCTAGAGGATTTTTAATTGACTTTTCAATAGAAATCATTTTCAAAGTTTTAATCTAATTACAAAGTATTTTCTATCTTATCTTAGGTATTTAATGCTTGTGATTGAATATAACTCATTTACTTCTTATAGTTGTAAATGAGATGGCTATGCAATGGTTTTTCATTGAATATAATATTAGGGTTTTGATAAATTATGTTTAGAAAAGATAGACCATTCTACACTATAGAGTAGAGTAGTTAGGTAGATGGTTTATGCTAATTGAAGATAGTACATGCTTAGCTTTAATTTCATATTATCTTCTAGCTGAATTAATATGTGCTTCCTACTGATACTGCCGCTACCCTTGCTTGTGAAGCAAGATGAAGATAGATATCTCCCCTTCACTCAGTCTTTTGGTTTCCTGGAACCTTGTAATAAATTGCAAACATGGTTAGTGGCTCCAGAATCTACAAATCAGGTATCCGTAGATCCAACCACATATCATGTCTTAATAATGAGTGACTGAAGCATACCTTCAGAGTGCTTCTTTGCTAGATACACCCGACAATTCCTTTTCCAATGCCCTTCCTTACCACAA